AAGCGTTTCACCCCAAGCAAGGCGAGAAGCCACTAAGACGCAAGGGGTTACAGAAAATTTAGAGCAAGATCAGATAGGAGTGATAGAAGAAAGGATGAGGAGAAGGGCAGTGGATAGATCAAGGCAACTGGAGATGTCGATTGACATTACATTTGAATAGCTGGAGATTATAGCTCTCAAGGAAACTGGAATAGGGAAGGGAGTTCCACAGGCGAGAGGTGTGGGACATGAAGCTATTGGAGTAGAAGAGACGGCTACATTTAGGAGTTTCGACAGCATTTGCAATAAAATATTCATAAGATAGTTCATTTAATTTTTAATATTTCAAAGAATACCAAGCAGATTGGTTGGCTCACAAGAATATTTACCTTATGAAATCTGTCTCTCTTTGAAAGAAGTTTGGACACCCCATCCTTACACCAAAATAACACATTCTTATTTACTATTATTACTACAGTCATAATACCTCAAAGTAACTATGTAGTCTTAACTAGTTCCTATATATACAATTTGTTTGAGCGGGAAAATAAAAATGAAAATATTTAAAAATTAAACCTTAATAAGTATTTACAATGAAAGGAGAAGAGAATTCATTAGAACACTTACCATAAAAATATTTATAGAAAAGGCGCAGGAAAGCTATATTACAATGGTGGGAAATTGAGAGAAGGCAAGATGCCAGGTCAGAATCAATAGTATTTGTTGTGGTACGATCCACCTAATTTACATAGTGGAGTACCGACCATATAAATATGGTTGGTACCGGGAAGACGGGGGAGGAAGAAGAGATCCAATCCAGAGATTCTGCCCGACTGCGACTAATGTCAACCCATTCTATAGGAACGGTCTTCACAAGAATATACCAAACTATCTGTAAATATTGTGTACACGTTCTTGTGTCAATACATTTTGTTTAAGTACATTTTGTGTTGTATTATTATTATTATTCCATGCTTTATTCAAGTTTCAACAGTATTGCAGTTTTCTCTTTGGATTTTATCAAAGATCTCGAAATATAGAGCAAGAGTTATGGGCTATATGTGGCAGAAACGCGTTAAACATGGATGAATGGAAGGCTTATGTAAGATAGATTCGGGTAAGAAAATTTTCTATCACGGCACAGTGAACAAACTTTCCTATCAGCAGACCTATCAATTGATTCAATATATTAATGTTACTCAGGTATTGCTCGTCCTGTTTCCACTGAGTCACACGCTGAATCAAAAGTACACGCTGCTCGGTTCAAGGATTGTACTCCCAATTACTGTCACCAGATTCACGAACCAACACATTAATCCACTAAGCTATTATCACAGTTACCCGCTGACAAATAATGATGATCCCAAAAAATTCAAACAGAAAATATGTATAACCGGTTTTGGTTAATTGCGTCTTTTCCATTCCCCCCCCAAAAAATCTTTGATTTTAATTATTCATTTTTGAATAGCCTTTGATCAGACTCGAATGTATATTCAGTAGTTCCGACGCTCTCCAGCTAACTCGGAACTGACCGCTCATCCCCAGCGTTGTCACAATATTATGGTCATGTTTCGAACTGCTGTAGCTGAAAAATTCAACATTGGATAAATAACATTGGAATACTTATTCTCCACTTTACAATATATATATATATATATATATATATATATTGGATAAAAATGAGACTAAATAGTACCCCATTTTTATGGCCTTTCCCCTGCCCTGGGATAAATTCCTCGGAGCTTGTCAATACTAATGCGTTTGATAAAAAATGAATCGTAATGTTTCTTAAAAAAAAAAATCTAAATTAAAAAAGGATAGAAAAAGAAGAAAAATTGGCGGAAAACAGAGGAACAAACATCAAATAAGGGAAAAGGCATTTAAAAGGGACATAGAAAAAAGAAAAAGAAACACTTTTATTGGCCCTATAATGAATACATTAAGATCTCTTTTATGAACCAGTTTCAATATTTTATATTAATAGGATTCGCACGGATTTTATATATATATATATATATATATATATATATATATAATATTAGTGATCAATATATATATATATATATATATATATATATATATAAATTTTCAAGAGGATAGAATCCAGCTAGAACTCAATGCCAAGACAGAGTAAGAATATAATATAAAAGACTCAAATACTAATATGTTTGTGTTTTATTATCTGTTACACTGAAGAAGGCCAGCAGTGGCCGAAACGTCGTGAATATGACAACACAGATGAGGACAAGAGTTCGAACACTGTAAATAGTGCAAATAATTACAATACATCATCTCAGTTATATAGACAGAAACAGAAAAGATATGAAAATAAGTTTGAGCACTTCAACTAGTATGTATGAAAAAGTCCGTATGTGGTAACTTTATCTTTTGTTGTTCATCTTTTTTCAGCCAAATATTAAATCGAATCCTTTGCGAGACAGATACACTCTTACCAAACTGGGCAGATGTCATAACGATTATTTTCAAAACGTAGAAAGAAAGCAAAAAAAAAAAAAAAAAAAAACGTAGAAAAAAAAGAAAACACGTCGAAGTCAGCTGTGAAGCCGAATGGTTCTCTTTTACCAAAAATAATTTAGTCGGCACACCGTTAAAATAGAGTCTGCTAATGTCTTGTATAGTTCTCGTTTCATCTATCCCAAAGAACATACAGAGGAAAAAAACGTTAGCCCTTCCAAAAAGAAATAGAAAGAAAGAAAGAAAGAAAGAAAGAAAGAAAGAAAGAAAGAAAGAAAGAAAGAAAGAAAGAACGGGTGAATTAAATACTTCGTCGAGCAGACGTTCTGCTACATCCGGGCAACTATTTATTAATCATGAAAGCATTTTAGCGGGAGGATCGCCCATGAAAGGAAGACACGACAAAGAATAATGGCGTTAGTGTTTTGGTCTTAATATAATAAAGTAAAAGGAAGTTATGCGATAAAAATGCTTTGAGCATTCTTTGTGTATATCAACAAAAGTAAATGTGTCCATGACCAAATCTAATTTAAGAGAGTCTCTAAATGAAAAGAAGCAGTTATTATTTTGCGTGACATAATCTGGAATCTTCTTTATAAATGCCTTTATCACTTAAGAAATTAAGTTATTCTTTTTACAAAAATCTGAAACGAACAAACGTAGAGGTATATTTATCTGTATTCACACACAAACGTACATACAGGTATACACAGGTACACACACATAAGTGTATGTAATTCATTAACTATTTATAGATTTATCATGTTTGTTCATATCTATATATTTTGGTCTGTTCATAAATGGCTTTCTGCCCTGCTGTGCTTGGTTTTATCTATATATCCTTTTTACATCATGTAAGTCTTAAAATATCTCTGGGTTCAGCCCATTATCAGACATTAAATATCTATCTATCTATCTATCTATCTATCTATCTAACCAATCTGTTGATATATACAATGTTATGCAAAAGTAGGTATGCAGTAAGTATTATACCAGCATTATAAATGTCGTTCGTGGATTCATTTAATACTAGAAATCATTTATTTATTAAAATCATTTGTAATATTTTCATAATTATTATTATGATGCATTTATAATATTTTTGATTTTTTAAAAATAAATAATAGTAATAATTGTTTTGTAGATAACGTGGCAATTTAAAGATGGCTGGTAAAGGAAAAGAAGCACAAGTGGATTTTGGAAGACATTATCAGTGATATGTTTATATATTCAATACAATATGTTTTGTGGGCACGTTTTGTTTTTCGTTACTGTATACCTATTTTTGCACCCTCCTCTATTTATCTCATTCTTTTCCAGTCTCTCACACTCATTCTCTCTCACTCTAACTTTCTCTCTCTCTCACTCTCTATCTCTCTCTATCGCTCTCTCTCTCTCTCTCTCTCTCTCTCTATATATATATATATATATATATATATATATATATATATATATATGTAAGCAAATGTAAATGGATATAGATCCGATAGAATGAAGAAAAATTTGGCAAAAACAAAAAAAAATTCAGACGTCGACATTTCATTCATTTTAAACAACATAATTGCATTTAAGGATTTTTGTTGTTTTTTTTCCAAATTTTTTTTTTTATATATATATATATATATATATATATATATATATATATAGATATATGGTAGACGACACTTTTGCTATAAGTTTTAGCCAGACTAAGAGAAGACGAATCTCAATTCAAAACAATGAAGAAGTTAACTGAAAATCCGTCAATAATAATATCGTCACGGCAATTTGCAGATAAAAAAAGTATCTATCTATCTATCTATCTATCTATCTATCTATCTATCTCGCTGTGAATATACATATATTTATCTCTCTTTTTTCTTTCTTTATCCAACCATTTTGAAAAATTCGAGAACCAGTTGCGCAGCTTCGATCTAACTTGTTAATATATCAGAGGAACCTTTTCTGTGCATTTGCCAACATATACTCTGCAAGGAACAAACTTAAGCTTTTAAAGCCTAGGGTTAAACGTTATCTATCCCCCATATCATTTTCACTCCCTGCTTCCTTCTCATACGTTCATACCATTTAACCCACTCAGTAACCCTCTACGTTGCGTAAATCTTGAGCCTTTCATTTAGGGGATATTAGTCACGCAAAAAGGGTTGTAAGCGTCCGAGGTATTACTTATTTGATATGACTTGCAAGATTAATCTCCAAAACATCGATGTATGATAAGAGAGATTTGCATTCATGTGTGGGTATGTAGCAGATGATAGGCATATAGAATGAGAAAGGGCGAGAGAAAAGAGAGCAGTGGAAGAGAGAAAACCCAGAAGTAAGAGAGAAGAGAATCAGAAGTGAGGAATTATAGAGAGGGAAGAGAGAGAGAGAGAGAGAGAGAGAGAGAGAGAGAGAGAAGAGAAAATTCAGGAGAGAAGAGAAAATTCAGGAGAGAAGAGAAGAGAGTGGAAAATGAAGGATGATAGTGGGAGAAAAAAGTGACAGAGAGTGAAGAGAGAAAAACGGGAAAAAAGAGAAGTTAAAAGGGAGCTAGAGGTGAGAGATTAGAGAGGGGAGAGAGAGATAGAGAAGGAGAAAAAGAGAAAATCCAGGAGAGAGAGAGAGAAAAAAGGGAAAAGCGAAGGCGAAGTGAGAGATGAATGAGAGAGAGAGAGGGATAGAAGATAGAAAATCCGGGAGAAAGAGAGATGCAGATGTGCATGATAATATAAAGAGAAGAAATATGTAGACAGGAAGAGAGAGAGAGAGAGAGAGAGAGAGAGAGAGAGAGAGAGAGAAAGGAGGGGGAGAAATAAGCCAGAAGAAAGAGAGGAGTGAAAAGAGAGGGAAAAGTAAAAAATTATGGAGAGAGTGAGAGAAGAAGAAGAAAGAGTAAGGAAAAAAAATGAAAAGCCAGGAATGAGAGAGAGAGAGAGGGAGAGAGAGAGAGAGAGAGGGAGAGAGAGAGAGAGAGGGGAGAAGTGGAAAGCAATGGCGAAGTCAAATACAGAGTAAAAGAAGATAGAAAAAGAGAGAAGTGAAACAGACTGAAAATGTGCGAGGTGATAGAGAGAGAGAGAGAGAGAAAGAGAGAGAGAGAGAGACCGAAATTAGTGAGAAGTGAGAAAAGAGGGAGAAGTGAGAGATGATATATTACAAGTGAGAACGAGAGTGGGGAGAAAACCGGAAGAAAGTTAGAAGAGAAGTGAGAGTGGATAGAAAGAGAGATATATATATATATATATATATATATATATATATATATATATATGTTGAAAGAGAGAAACAGAGAGAATGAGAATAGAGAGAAAATAGGTTTCGAACCCTCTTTCTTTCGCCCAATCGCAGCGGCAAACAATCCTGGTATTTGCAGCATCATCTGCCTTCTTTATCAAATTCAATTATGACAAAATATGGGAGACATGCAGATTTGTTCGCATGATTTCAACCGCATTAGAGGAATTGTCACTGATCAGCTTCTCTCGTGAGAATGCACCGAAAGATGCAACCGAAGTGGGCCGTGACTGCTGAAGTTAAAGATCAGGGACATCGGGACTCATAACGACTAAGGACATTACAACTGTCAGATGATGTCTTAACAATGAAAGGACAACCTGTCAGATCGGTGAATATGGCTATGACTACCGGACCACAGGGTGCAAGTAAAAGAAAGCGAATAATTGCGAAGATACAAGGGCCATAACTGGTAACTACGAGTAATGTGGTACATGAAAGTTCGGGTAGTGACTATGAGAGCAGGAAACGATTCAAGAGTGGATGAATAGGGAATTTGGGAAAGATTTGACATTTCCACGGAATTGATTCCATCAACCTGCATACTGGGTAAGGTGCTGGTGATTCAACGAAATTTACTCTTATTTGCTCTTATATCCAGCGATAACGCCTTGATAATTTACTTGTTCATACAATTTTTCATTATCTTACCACAAGCTAGGCAATAAAGTCACTAAGAAACAATTGGTTACTGAGCGTAAAAGAATAAGATAATATAAAACATTATTATGGCGCGGGAATGAGAAAAAGAAGTGAATAAGACAGTAGACAACGATTGACATTGCATTTAAACTTTTGAAGATCGAAGTTGGTGGGAAAGCAAGAAGCCAGAAGAGAGTGCCACAGGCGAGAAGTGCGAGAAAAGAAATTGTTAACAAAGAACGTACGGTTACATCTAGCCAATTCCACCTTAAAATGATGAAACATTATTGCCAATCTAGTACTGCGTTGAAATTCTTAAAGTCTAGGTACCATAGATGAATGTAATATTTATTTTGGAAAATATAAAATACTAGGTTAAAACGGAAGGCTGGTCTTCAATCTGTCTTCTCTCAAACTTGACTAGCCACGATTACTGATCCAAACATAACACAGTATTCCTTACACCAAAACAACATAGTCTTACCATTCTTGCTACAGCCACCATAATACCTCAAAGTTCACCAGAACATCTATCATGAAAATATCTATTGGGTGTCCTCCAAGGCTCTATCCTGGGTTTTACGCTGTTTCTGATCTTCTGCAAGGATCTCTGTGATGTCATCAGTTCTCAAGTATGCATTAATGCTGATGAGACTAACATTTACTTCAGTCCCAATAGCAAATCAGTCAGAGTTGACAAAATCAACCTGTCCGCTGTTCTTGAAAAGGACCAACAATCAGTGGTTCACTAAGGCAAGAAATAGCTCGTAAATTTTAATGCCTACAAAACTAAACTTCTCTCTTATTTACATTATTCGGACTATTGTCCTCATCTTTGTCGCCATATCTATCACAACGTTTCGGCCGTTGTACGCTCCGGCATTCTTCAGGTAGTTGGAATGTCGAACTGAACCCTTTATTTCGCTCACTGTGTTAGAGTGTTCTAGTTCTACGTGCCATGTTTAATGGATGTCAGTTATTAGTTATCTCCTGTTAATTCGCCTCTACAAGTTTTCCACCGCCTTTACCAGGTATTGAACTCACATTCTTTGGGTCCTGTCACTGGATCTAACTAACACGTTTATCCACTGTGCCATGTGTCCTTGATAAATATAGAAACAAAGATGAGGATAATAGTCCGAATAATGTAAACAGTGTACATAATACCTACTCTCAAAAATATAGACATAATTTCTACATATTTTTCTCTTCATTTACTTTTGTAATATTTTTTAAATTTTAAAGTGGCTTTATGGACTCCCAGTTTATGAATTGGTTGCCCCACCATGCTTTTCTGGTGAAGAGGGTGGATAGACACAGAAAAGTATTAATAACAAGACCTGTCAAAGGACGGCGGAACTTACTTGTAAGGTCAACGATCATCTGGCATAATAGGAATGCTGGGCTGCATAACCATGTATAAAGCTAGTGCGTTGATGACATTCGGCGGGAAGTCTTCTAGAATTAAATCAACGGACAGGGCGTAACGTTGCCTTTGATGAAAACAACGGCTACGTGTCTGTAACCAGCCATTGCTCACGTTGGCGGAAACTGATTGTGTTTTGGTCTGTACAGGAATTGTCTCTGCCAGGTATACTTGTCCTAGACATGCTACACGACAATGAATGCGCTTCCGTTTTTGAAGAAAAATAGTTTGGCGCTCAGCTGTGCAGAGACCCGACAATCATACCCGCTCATAAGATCGATGATGATGATGGTGAGGAAGTGGGCTGGCATGGCTCTCCGCAACTTCACGTTTCTCGTCGCTCTAAGAAACATTAGTGTTTTGACTCTTCCTCTTTGTCCTTGTTCTGCCAACATCTGACTAGAATTGGTTAAGTAGGTTGCTCGCTATTTCCTTCTGCTTCTTTTGTATGACCTGGGAGTGTTAAATTCTCTAGGTCACCTTTCTTTATTAGGAGTTCCATTCTGATTGTAAGTAATTACTACTTAACTACTAACCAACATTTCCTTCCTGGTATTCAATGTATTTCGGCAGTAAGATATGAATTTATGTATTAAAAGGTGCTGAAAAATTTATCGGTCCTATCAACTTCGCAAATCAGTGTCCTAATGCTTGACTAATGAAATACTGACGTTGGAAAATGGTTTGTGCGAAGAATATTTCACACACACACACACACACACACACACACACACACACACACACACACACACACACACACATATATATATATATATATATATATATATATATATAAGGGGAAATATATGACAAAGTGATAAAGTTTTCATATGACGCGTTTCTTCCTTTAGGACTTCATCAGACTAAATTTGTTGGTGTGATTACACATGCGCACGAACAAGGGGTGCTGGGAATTTTAAATTTTCAATTATTTTTTTTAATCTAATGGATTTCATTAAGATACTTTTCATTTTTCTTTTCATCACTTTCATTATTAAATATTCCGCACTGCAATAATAGAAGTTATGTCAGGAATGGGGAAATGATATATGAGCCAGATCGCGAATTCACTGCGGAACTTCTATTACAATATCTAATGACAAAAGTGATGAAAGGAAAAAAATCGAAATGAAATCGGCTATATTTAAAAAAAACACGCAAAAAACCCAACTTTTTTATTTGAAAATTTCAAATTTGCAACCTCCCTCGTTTGTGCGCATGCATAGTAGCACTAGGAAAAGAAATTTAGTCCAATGAAGTCTAAAGAACGAAATAGGTCACAAGAATACTTCTTCTGCATTATCATACATTTTCCCCCAATATTTTTCCTGATGTATAAAAATATATATCGTAATTTCATATATATATATATACACACACACACACACACACACATATATATATATATATATATATATATATATATATGAAATATATATATATATATATATATATATATATATATATATATATATATATAAATAACGTAAATAAAGAGACAGACTAACCTACCTATGTTTCACCTACGTGGATCGTCAGGGCGGACTGGATAAAGAGGTGCTATAAGAACAGAAAATGAAATGGGAAATATTAATGAAATAACTATAAATACAAAGCAGGTAATAAAGTTTGTCCTCTATGTATAAAAGAAAAGTTAGCCATCGCTTTATTTAAAGAACCCAATAATTTTCTGAATTTAACGGAACTCTTAAGCAGGTGTAAACACAGAAAACGCTGGTTACTAAAATAGGTTTTCTTCTCTTGGTTTTTACTTCATGTTTTAAATAAATAGGATTTACCACCACGTCGTTGTGTTGTTTTTTTTTTGGGGGGGGGGTCACATGGTCATGTTTTTGTGTTGTAGGCTATATATTTTCTATTCTTTTTTATTTTCTGTTCCTTATAGAACCTCTTTTGCCAGTCCGCACTGACGATCCGCGTAGCTGAAACCTAGGTCGGTTCGTCTGGCTTTTTACGTTTGTTTACTTATTTTGCTCCACTTAGTGTATTGAGCACTTTGTTACGTTATTTTACTTTACTTGTGTCGGAGTTTTTTTTCTTTTGACTCTGAACTTAGATTGTAGACGATTATTTTCACCGGAAGTACATATTCTTAGTTCTTTCATTTTTTAACATTTTTTTTTTTCCCTTGGGATGTAGTTTGTTCATTCACGAGCTAAAGCATCTAAGGTTTTGCCGGACGAGTATAGCTGCTTACATTTGTAAGTTTATTAGTATTATATATATATATATATATATATATATATATATATATATATATATATATATATATATATATATATAGTTCAAGAAAGACATTTGAGTCACTAACACACAAAAAAAGAGAATGTCTCATATCGAGAATATTTAACATCGAAAAAACATAGGAAAACATTATTTTTAATAATATGTGAAAATCTCCACAGTTTGCCTGATGACAGTTGCGAGACCGCAAACACGTGTAATTATGGAAAATAAAGCATAATATTTAAAAAAAAAAATCTACACTACAACCAAAAACGTTTGCGGTTTTCTCTTCTTTATATATATATATATATATATATATATATATATATATATATATATATATATATGAAGAAATATACTCTTATGGTGTGCTATATTTATGAGACAAAGTGCTCAATATCAGAGATAGAGCATGTGTAAATAGAAAAGTGTACATTG